CTTGCTTTTTGATTACTGTGTTTGAGGCCACCACTGGTTTCCACTGACATCAGATCCTGAATTTACAATTTCTCTTTCATTTTCAGGCCCTGCCATCTCTGGTTTGCTATCCTCATGGGGACATCCCATTGACATAAGGCTTTCCCTAGCTGCTTACTCTAACAATCAAAAATGAATGCCTAACCCTAAACCTAACCACAACCCAATTGTAACCCTGACACTAAAACCACATTTTGAGTGTGAAAAAGGCCTTCAGCCCTGTGGGGACCAGGATTTTAGTCCCCACCAGCATAGTAAATTTCAGATTTACAGATTTTCAATTTACAGATTTCCAATTTTTAAATTGGATTTTTACCTTCTCCACTACAAAAATTGATAAATTCATAGGCACAAAACAACAACAACAACAACAACAAAACACAAATGCAGAATTTTTAGTGTTTGAAGAACTCACTGAGTTCCTTGTTGGGTTCTTTCTTAACATTTTGCTGTTTGATTGCTGTGTTTTTTGCAACATCTCTGGAATTTCCATTGACTTCAGATCTTGTCGTGTCAGGATGATCTCTAGCTTTCTGTTTCAAAGACAACCAAGAATATATTAGTATCCTTATTTATTATTTCTTTTGAATGGTAAGCTTGCAGAGAAAAACAAAACAGGAAAATAATATGCAGTTTTATTATGAAAATCATTTTGAGCAAGATTCAGTTTAATCCAATTTTATTTATATAGCACCAAACTATGAAAACAGTCGGCTCAATGTGCTTTATATTGTACAGACCCTACAATAATACACAGAAAACACCAGCAATTAGACAATCCCATATGAGCAAGTGATTTAATGACAGGAGTGTTTTAATTATCTTTATTTTGAATGGTAAGTTTTTAATAAAATACAGTCTTACCTCAGGAAGGCTATTAACGACACCCTTTACTTCTTTGATATTCACTGCAGGTTCCCCAGGTGTTGAAATTGTGCTTGTTGTTGTCTTCTCTGAAAAAAGAAAAGTGATTAAAACATGAGCATGTGCACTTTGGGATTTTTAGAATTAGATTCATGTTGATGTTCAGTCTGATCTTCAGCAGATCATCTTGTCCATGTCTCCATGTCTGTATTGAGTTGCTGTCATGTGATTGGCTGATTAGATATTTTCATTAATGAGCAGTTGGACAGGTATACCAGAAAAAATTTAAAAACATGGCTGGATAATATCTTTTGAAAAGTACAACTATTCATTACAGAACACACCTGATCTGTTTTGAATACAAAGACATTGGGAAATAATATTTATTCAAACAGCTAACAAAACTACTATAGTAGTTAGCTGTGCGCACATATAATAATAATAATAATAATAATAATAATAATAATAATAATAATAATAATAATAATAATAATAATAATAATAATAAATTAATTGCATTTATATTCCGCTTTTAGGGGCCCTCAAAGCGCTTTACAATTCCACTATTCAGTCACTCTCACATTCACACACTGGTGGAGGCAGCTACAGTTGTAGCCACAGCTGCCCTGG